TAATAATGTTCTGTAGTTTTTCAGCAGCATGGAAAGGTCACTTGAGGGTAAGGCTTTTACTCTCATGCATAATGAGAGGTGAAGTATTTCATGAGGTGAAATACTGTATGTAATTACTGTAAACCCAACAGACCACGCCCTGTATTCAAGAAGATGAAAAATAAGCTGCTGATGACTGGAAAGCAAATTACATTTTTCAATACCTTTTAACTATTCTTTCAAAAATATTACAATTATAATGCTAATAATTGACTTGAAATCCAAAGTTAGAAACAATTAACAGTTGTTTCTCTGCTGGAGTAACTGTCCGTGGTCTAAGAGGCCTACCATTAACTGCTAAACACTGCTAATAGGTAGTGATTATTTTTCAGGCAGCATAAGGCTGTGTCCTACTGTGTGACTCTTAATGGACTTTTACATCTCTAGACTCAGGCAGAAGTTGACGTGTTGCCCTTAACCTCTTGATTGCACATGACAATTCCCTTGCATTTTCCCCAGCATTTGCTAGTTTAGTAGCAGGAACTGAGTAAATTCGTCTCCTTTTACATTCTGGAAACATTCTGCCTCCTATAAAACAAATATAATCAGAAGCGCCACAAGTCATAGGAGAAATACTATAGGAAATAATAAGAGACAAAAAGGCATGCAAGGAGGGTCACATAGTCACAAAGAGGTGTTAGCATGTCCTGGCATTACAAAGACAAGTTGAATGTCCCTGCCTCAAAATAGTTATTACTTAAGGCAGGAAAGGGGCTGGGAACAGAGTCCTCAGATGCAAAGTAGTGAGAGGTAATTTCAGGTGTGTAGGAGCTGAAGGAAGAACATAACAGCTGAACAGAGTGGGACAAGGAAATAACAGGTAATGTCTGCAGTGGTCAGCAAGGAGATGTGATTGAAATGGGCTTGTGACCTGGAGAGGGCTGGATCTGTGAAGCAGTAGTGGAGAAGGAGAAAGTACAAGACAGGCTTGAACATGGCAAACTGATGAAGTTGACTGTAGAGCTGCTGATAAAAGTGGAGTGTTAGAAATGACAAAGTGAAGATATGAAGACATTTGAAGAAAGAACGTGCAGTATTCTGAGATCACAGCACTAGATTATGCTACCACCATCAACAAGTAGCTCAAAGTAAAAAGGATGATGGTGCCAGAATAGAACTGATAAAAACTGTGTTTCTTAAAATGTTGTAGCTTGCCGATAAGTTTTGTTTCTTTCTTAGGGCTATTGGCTATATAATGTCTACATTGTTCTACCCAATCATCACCTTCATACTCATTGCAATCTGTATTTCCTACTGGGCTGTGACAGCTGTGTATCCTTCTGTCTGTGTCCCTTTCTGGAGGAACAGTCTTCTGGTGTGCAAGACCTGATAATTCTTTGCTATTTCACCTTAACCAAACCAGCGTTAAGAGGGGTATTTGATCACTTAGCACTTGCTGCACTGATGCACTTTTCCTCACTGCACATTTGCATGTGATGTACAAATCAGACAGTGAATTTAATTTCATTAAAAAGAACTGGACTAAAATTCATGCCAAGGCAGAGAGATCATACAAGGCCTTGTGTACTACATAAGGTTGACTTTGAGGGGTAAAGAAAGGCTCTCAGCAAAGAGTGAATATGGCCTTTAATGTGCTGCATGCTCTATAGACCTGATATTCATGATCTCTGAGTTAGCTGGGGGTGGGGTGGGCTCCAGCTGTCTTTTGTTCAGAAAAGTATAGGAAAGGAGTGAGAAAGCTTGCAGTACACTGAGTCCTCTCTAAATTGCATAACAGCAACCACTGTCTGTTCATGGAACAGCAAGGGTTTGGCAAGGTGTCAGAAAGGGGAAGATTACTTTTTGAAAACAAATTGTTCTTTCACATGTTCTTTCACAATAAATTAAGATTGTCATGTTCTGTTCATGACAATCTTAATTTATCCTTTTGCTCTGTGTCTCCTTCTGCCAAAATACAAACTGTCAAAGAACTGCTGCATAACCTGCCTTATCAAAGGTAGATGTGCAGGAGAGACTGAGTCAACTTTCAAGGTTATTCCGCTTGCCCATTGTGATCACGGGTTATTACAGCTCCAGGATGGAGTTTGCCTTAGTTCTCTAAGGAATTAGAGTATTCAGTCTTCTCTGTCAAGCCTTCATATGCATCTCTGCATAGCAAGAACAGTTTTTCTATTATCTGCACAAGTTCTTTAGAGCTATTGGTTACCCACTGCAGAATCCTAAGTTGCTCAAAGCCTACAGTTCTGTGATTCCTCCTTAAAATATTTCATTCAGTTTTCTGGCTACATCAGGAGAACCTGTGTATAAAGTAATGGCTAATCAAACACTGTGCAAGTATGCAAACCTGACTTGTGACCCAGAGGTAAGTGTAACAAATATTTATCTATAGTGAGAGCTATGCTAATTGCATTTCTTAATCACCATTAAATGTAATGCTAGTAGAAAATGTGCATATTTTAAGTAATGATTCCTCATGTTAAATTTCAAAATAGCGCTTTGTGTTCAATAACACTTTTTTGTTCAAAGCAATTACAGACATGAACTAATTTTTCTACTAAACTATCCTGTGAGGTAGGTAAATAATAACCATTCTAATTTAGGGGGTGAGAAAGGAAGACCCAGAAATACAGGTTTATTTGGAATGGTGTTATTGAATTAATGAGGATGCTATTCTTTGGTCCTCAAAAGGCAATGGAAGACTTTGAAAGCTGTGTCTCAAACTTGCCCAAGGACCAGACATGTTTTGAAGCAGAGGCTTAGCTTCATTTGGCACAACAATGACCTTTATGAAGATCCAAAAATATCCTGTCTTTTTAAAAATTTTGTCTTTAGTCAAATGTTTTTACTTGACTGTGGGGTTGAATTTAAGTTTTTTTTTTTTTTAAATAGAAATATTTATCAAGTGTTGTATTGGAGTTATTTTCGGGTTTGAATTTAGGATTTAGAATAGTTTTGGTTGGAAAAGACCTTTAAGGTCATCAAGTCCAACTATTAACCTAGCACTGCCAAGTCCACCTCTAAACCATGTCCTTAAGCACCACATTTATAGGTCTTTTAAATACCTCCAGGGATGGTGACTTAAGCACTTTCTCTGGGCAGCCTGTTCCAGTGCTTGACAACCATTTCAGTGAATAAATTTTTACTACTATCCAATCTAAACCTCCCCTGGAACAACTT